CTATGGAAGATACTTACCTGGGTTAGATGTGACCTGCAGAGGTGGTGCTGAAGAAGTAGTGACCACATTGACGACTTGGAGATTGTCTGCAGATGAAGCGCTGATACATTGGAAACCATATTGATGAGTTGACAAGAGATTGGTGTTGGGCTGATGAGCGCTGGACTCAGGGGAACTTTGAAACACTTTGTATTCATATTTCTGATAATATAAGTTGTGAAACTCGGTCCTCTTCTTCTCTACCTTTGTCTATGGTTGATACTATTGATCACTGCATGTGAAGATGATGCATGACATGTACATATTTGCATGAGATGGTCCCTAGGACCCATGCATTTGCAAAAGTTAAATATTTAATTAAAGAATATTTAAATTTGCACAAATAAAAAGGAATAAAGTTTAAGCGAGTTTAAACATTTAAATTTTAAACATAACTTCAATAATTTCACGAAATTTAATCGGGGGAATTTAGCATCATCACAAGGTCACTAAGTAGAAGATGAATGTAAATAGGAAGATACACAATTTGCTGGAAAGATTCAACCTTTCAACGCAATAAAAGATGCATTTTGCAAAAAGTGAAACTTCCGTGAAGTTGCAGTTTGAATGTGGCCGTGCTCAGGCCCGATCTGCCTTAACTGGCGCGGTGCCTGGCTGACACTTACTTCCCATAGGTTGATAGGCCGTTTAGATTAGGGTAGGACTAACCCTAATTAGCGCTAATTAGGTTACTCGTAATTAGCGATTCCCTAATTAGCGCAATATGGAGAAAACTCGCAAAACGTAAAATTATAATTTAACGACCTAATTACTATGTAAGTGCGAGAAAAGAAAAAAATTGCAACTTGCGATTTAATGATAACAGAGTACAGGTGTAGATAATCAATCAATCAATCAATCAATCAATCAATCAATCAATCCATCCATCCATCCATCCATCCATCCATCCATCCATCCATCCATGCTGGTCTGCTCCGATACCAAAATGTTGCATACTCATGAAACACAGTCATAAGTATGGCGCAGATTCCCAACCGACCAGATAATACAGAGTTGATACGAATACAGGGGAAGAGTTGATACCCATAGACTGACTCTGACCTGACTCGGACTGCAATCGAACACTCTCAATCATTCATCAGGGGTGTGAAAGCCCTGGCCTTGGACATAGAAGAGAGAGAGAGAGAGAGAGAGAGAGAGAGAGAGAGAGAGAGAGAGAGGGAGAGAGAGAGAGAGCGGTGGAGGAAGATGAGGGAGAGAAGGCGAAGTCTTCCTCCCTGGTACCTGGCATGGTAACTATGGCGCTGCAAGGGGGCTGGGCTGGTAACTGGTGCTGAGCCCGATGCTGCGCTAATCCTCTCACCGCTGAGCTCCTGCTCTCCTCGCTGCTCCTCGCTATGCTGCAGCGCTGCGCTAATCGTACTAACGCTGAATGCTGCGCTAATCCTGAAGACTAACCTTCGGTCCATCTAACCTCCTTCCCGAGGCTGGTACCCAGCCTTTTCTAGTGCTGGGCCGGCCTCCTACCTGCCGGTACCTACCGGCCTGGACCGTTGATCTGATCAACGGTCCAGTTTTAAAACTGGAACTTGGCGCCTAAACGTGGCAGCCTCCGCAGCACCGCCTGTAGGTCCTATGCTGGACCGGTACCGGCCTTGTGGCCGTTGGCCTGGGCCTCTACCCCTGGCCTGCCTAAACCGCCATGGTCCTGGCGTATCTGGGTCTCGTCTGAACCGTCGTCCCTTAGGCCTACCCTGCCTGTTTGGAACCGCGCCCTAACTGGGGCCCGTGTGGCTCAGAATGCCACATTGACATTGGTTTTTAGTGTTACGAATCTTCATTGGTGTTGTATTGGTGCATTCCTGCTTTGTGGACACTGTGATACTATCTGGCCTTCAATGTGATTGTGCAATCTAATTATTGTCATCTCGCTATTGCTCATTTTACTTGTAATATATTTTTGTCGCTGATATTTCATGTAAGAAAATGCATGGGGGGCTATCATTAGACATGTGTTCCTTTGAACTGCCATGGAATGTTCCAAAAAGGAAGAGCGCTATGGCATCTGCTTGCATTTTTGGCACACCCTTTTCCTTGTCCAATAGTATGATCCCCAGTGGAGGCAAGAAACTGCTGCGGCACAAAAGAACCTAGAAAAAATGACCTCCCCAGAAGAAGGAAGTCCTCAAACATCTACTTGCATTTTTGGCACACCCTTTTCCTTGTCCAATAATATGATCCCCATTGGAGGCGAGAAACTCCTGCAACACAAATAACTTTTTTAACGTAAAAAAAGTGACCAGCCACCCCAGAAGAAGGAAGCCCTCAAACAGCTATCCGCACGAGCTCTCATGCAAGGGAAGCTGATCGGTTGAGTAGATGTTCTGGGTAGAAAAGGGGATCTGGAAAGTTGATTGGTTGTGGGATAAACAGGAGAGCAGGAGGAAACCCCAGACCGTTATCTCATAACCCTAAACCCAACATACTAAGCAGAGAACTTTTATGGGACATGACCGATTTGTGCTAAGAGTCATTGCGGAGCGCAGATGCTCCACATGTGTGTCCCGTGGATTTCACTGACTCTTCTAATTCTGTGGTTACAAAGGGTCTGGAAATCCAATGGGATTCCTTGCGTTGCATAGAGTGGAACTCTGCTTTGCCGTATTGGCAGTCAGAAAAACCCTCATCTTGCTGAACATATGAGAAATTGAGCGACTTCTTTTACACGAAATTGTGCAAGGGGGTGGTGCACATACCAACCTGGTAAAAGGAACAAGGAGAAAAGAAAAGGGGAATGGAAAGATGTGAAGCGTTGCAATCATCCTGGTAGACTGATGTGGGTTCGTGCCTTAGAAGAGCTGACTCAACGAAAGCTTACCGAAAGGAGCTCTCCTGCAAGGATCTTGAGTAGATGTTCTGGGTATAAAAGAAGATCCGGCAGGTCGATTCGTTATGGAATAAACAGGGGAGCAGGAAAAAACCCTAAACCTTTCTTTGCAAACCCTCAAAACCCTAATCTCCAAACCCCTGAACCCCCTAATCCCTTGTAGAGCTAACTCAACAAAGAGCTACCCACATGAGCTCTCATGCATTCTGGGTAGAATCAAAGGAGAAGGAGCTACGCTGATTGGTTCTGGAATGAACAGGGGAGCAGGAGAAAACCCTATGCCTTAGGCCCAAGGGCCGCCGCCTGGCGGCGCCATTTGCAGAGTTAACCGAACAAACGGCTACCCACCCACAGGAGCTTGCATGCAAGGATCTTGAGTAGATGTTCTGGGCAGAAAAGGGTATCTGGAACGTTGGTTGGCTGTGTAATGAGTCGTAGAGCAGGAGGAAATGAGCCGAAGAAGGGCTATGCAGTGAACTCGGTTCGAAATACGCACAAACATAGTTCAGGGTCCACATCTCACGAAGGCAGAAGGGGCATAAATTACCCAACCCTGACATAGGATTCACAAGGGAGGGTCGTAACGTTTGGTCTAAGTATAGATTCAGGGGTCAAAAGTCATGTCTCCTGTCCCAGAGGTGTCCGAGAAAAGTTCCAGAGTCCACAGGTACCGGGGCCAGGGTCAAATGAGGCTGCGTGTGCCCCAGACGAGGTAGCAAAAGATGCGAAAAAAGCAATCCATAGCAAAATCAAGAGTCAGGCCTAAACTTGTGAAGAGGAGATCAGGAGTCAGAGATGTCCCAGGATTCAACCACAGCCACAGATCTGATGCACAACCGAAGGCTGTGTGTGTTGTCCAGAAGTCTTCAGGGCCTAGTGGGTCCAGGCCTAGTTGGAAAAAAACCCTTTCCTTCATACCCTCGAGAACCTGATCCCTCCCCATAATCATGTAGTCCTAATGGGAGACTGGAACTCAGTCCAAGAGCTCTCCCTAGATAGAATCTCTAATGCAACAGACCCATCCCAACAATCGAACAACATAAGATTAATTGATTTCACTACCTAGAGTGGGCTTGGACACCAGACAGAAGCAGAAGTCTCAAAACGAATGTCTCCATTCAGGAATACATAGTCAAACTGGGATGCAACTTACTCCTAGAAACAACGGATCATGACCCAACGATCAAGAACAGATGGCAGAAGTTAATAGGTCAGGACGCTAGTCAGATCCCACAAATACCATGGAAAAAATTCAAGTCAATCCGTCCGGTCAAAATCAGAAGCCTCCAATGGCTCATCTCATATGTGGCTCTACCCGTTAACCAGTGGCTGCATATCAGAAGTAAGAATGACCCTAACAGTTCAGATTTATGCTCGGTATGTTCAGAAAACGAACCAGAAGATATGCTACGTTGCCTGATACGCTGTAGAGAAGCGACAAAATATTGGACGAGGGCCTCGGATCTCTGGGATTCCCTCTTCTCGACTCCCCTCCCTGAACACCCCATCCAACTCCTCCTATGGACTAACATCCCAGCTCAATTCCACAAGACAGAAAAAACGTGATTTGGAATTATCAGAAAGGTAACGCTGTTGGGGGAGGACCTACTCGATTTTTTTAACGAAAGTATGCACAAAGGAGGCCTAGGCAAGGAGCTGAGCACCAGCATAGTCTCACTGCTTTACAAAAAGGGAGACAAAGAAGACCTGAAAAACTACAGACCTATTTCCCTACTAACCACTCCATACAAAATCCTAGCCAAGGCGYTTGCAAACARAATCACCAAACWAACGAAYARYTGCTTCCACATCGATYAAGCAGGCTTCATCCSAGGTCGTTACATATTAGACAATGTGATGACCCTGAATGAAGCAGCAAAAAAGATCATGGAGAAAYGAATGAAGGCAGCAATCCTGTTCTTYGACTTCGAGAAAGCCTACGACCAAGTTAACTGGGATTTTCTATACGCATGCATGGAAAAAATGGGGGTAGGCCCGAACTTTAGAAGTTGGGTTAGAACTCTGTACGCAGATGCAACAGGAAGAGTCCAGGTCAATAGAATCCTATCAGAAACCTACCCAATCTCACAGTCAGTCAGACAAGGCGACCCACTRGCTCCTCCCATTTTTMTTTTCATAATGGAAGCCATAGCCTCATTTCTCCGCAAAGACCCATCCATCGACCGCCTCACAGAACGGAACTTCAATCTGTTACACGACTTCGCCCTACCCACTGCACTCATGTTTGCTGACGACCTTACGGTACTCATTAGAGCTAATAACAGCTCCTTCCAATCACTGGTAAGGGCAATGGAAGCATTCAGACTGGCTTCAGAAATGAGGGTCAATTGGAACAAAACCGAAGGCTGGTGGTTAGCAGGCGGCACCCCTCCCCAACCGTCGGACACAACCACACCCATGAATTGGACCACGGGAGAGCAAGCACTACGGTTCCTGGGCATCATGGTTAACAAAGAAGGGGTGTGGCCGGGAATGGGCCAGAATCTGATAGCAAGAGCAATCACCCGCCTGACCCTGTGCAAAAATGCGCAGACTAATCGGACGGGCACTTCTTATCAACACAGCGATATTCTCTACACTGTGGTACATGGCATCAATCTGGTCCCCCCCCGACGACGACCTCAAGGAGCTCAAGAACAAGGTGAGGTGCTACCTGTGGACAGGTGACCCAAACAGAACCACCTGCATCAATAGGGTTGCATGGAACCACATCACCAGGAAGCCACAAGAAGGGGGCCTTGGAATACGACCCAAAACATGAATCCATAGCTCTGCAGATGAAATGGATAATCAAGATTCTCACAAG